TCCCTGTTAAGGGATCTCAGAATTCTCTTGGTAACGTCTTATTCCCATTGTGACCTCACTTAACCTAGCTTGTGGAGATATGATTACAAGAAGTTGGCTACCTTTGCTGAACCCCGAGTGTGTCAAGATTCCTTCATTTCATAGGCCTCAGCTTGCGATCTTCCCATTCAGCAGCTGTGCATATTCCTAATTATTTATCAGATTCAATATGTAAGCTGCACTTACTCGATTCCCAGGTCCACTTCTGGGATACCGCTAAGCATCTGATTGGACAACATCTCTTCTGTCTTTTTGGCAGAATTGACACGGATGTTCTCGGGCAGTTCGTACAGGTGATCCTCAGCATTCTTAATCTTCACCTTCTGCTCCTCTGCCTCCAAAAAACCCTTCTTCTTTTTCAGTTCGGTTTCAATGTACTTCATCCTGAAACGGTGAAAAACAGATCAATGATGAGAAGATACAAAAAGCATCATGTACATTTTCATCTTTTCATCCCTCCCTAGTAAAAAAAAAGCTAGTGTTTTATTTGAGATGATCTTAACTTTCTAAAATCCATACACTAGACGGTAGTGCATAGTGCATAGTGTAAGTGTATAGTACTTCATTTGGGACACAACTTTAGTATTTACTCTCCAAAGCATGTTTCCGGAACAGAAGTAATCAGAAAACATACCCCATGCCATGCAGAGCAACGAATCGATAATAAGATTCGCTGACACCGATTTTCATAATCATTTTTCATAATCATTCATAAACATTTTTTTTAATGTTATCAATTAGTTGTTGCAGCTCGAGAAATAATGTTCAATTACTATGGGTTGTATTTAATATCAATTTGACATTAAGCTTAGTTGGCTATTTCCTTAGAAGGCTATTAGCCTTCTTTTCCCTAATATGGATCATTTTTGTGTTAGTCTACTTTTAATTAGGAGGCTTTGTTTAAGATATTTAAAAAGAAATATTTTATGCTTGTTTATTTATCAATTAACCAACAGTATTTCCAATTGCTATTAATTTAATTCAATTAACAGTGGCCATGAGCAGAGAGCATACATTTAACTTTTCATGACATACGTCCTGATTAAAGTTTAAACAAAAAAAAGATTGGTATCTGGATCGGTTTCGGTCGATGAAGATGACAAGAACTCGGCAATCAGCTGTAAAAATCCTGATCCGAGCATCCCTAATGAGCACCATTAACCCTCTTACCTCATATGGCCGAAAAACCGGCTTGCCCGTCTTTGATCGATTCCCGTAAGGACGATATACCGGCTTGGTCGTCTATGTCAAATCCCCTTAAGGACGATATATCGGCTTTACAGTGTAAATGTTATCCCCGTAAGGCCGGTATACCGGCATTAGTCTGCTATAATTCCTTACTTATTTAATTATTATTTTTTGACCCGGAAGGTTATGACGTCACGACGTGATTACGTTATTACGCCGTCATTACGATGAAGATGATCCAAGCGTGAATATCGGTGTAATAGTAGTTAACTAAAAATGCCAAAGTGAAAAGCTAATCGTGTTCCAGCTAAAGTTACACCTACAGTGAACACAGGTACATCTAAAACAGTGAAGAAAAGAAAACATACACAGTTACACAGGCGAGAGCGAAGATTCTAAATAGTGACAGCAGTGAAAGTTCAGGCGATGTTGAAACCGAAACTGATAGTGACCCAAACTCTCCTGATTCAAACCCTGATCAGTCTTTATCATCAGCATCAACCAGTTCGACTGACACTGCAGGGGTTTGGAGTCATAACCTGACCATTTCTGTGCGTTTGTGAAAACACTACCTGCTGGTCTGATTATCAGCAGAAAGTTGACTTTTGGCGCTAAAATGCATGCATGCATTCATTCATTCATTCATTCATTCATTTATTTATTTATTAACTTGGATTTATTCAAAGGCATTGACCATGCTGATGCTCGTATGGTACTTCTAAATGAGTAGCAGTATTTTAGCGAGCATTTTTTCCATAATTTCTCTAGTTAAGAATTGTGCTCCAAGTATAGTAAAAACACTGAACAGCTACCTTTTCAAAGTAATATTACACAAATTCATTATTAGAAGTTGTTTCAAGGCCATTATTATAAGTTGTTTCAAATGTTGATTTTGGCGTCAATTTTGGCCCAAGAACTCAGGCGTGCTGTTTCTATGGGGAATATAGGGTTGTGGGACATAATACTGTGGGAACTTAGGGGTAAGAGGGTTAAACTAAAGCGCTTTGCATCTGATGGGTAAAGGAACTCACGTAATCATATCCTACATGAGATTATACAGATATCTACGAAGGTAAATTAAAGTGTCACGGCTCACACTACATTCTAAATTCTGTCATAATCGACAAGCTCCAGTTTTCTCATGCTTACTTGTGCTTTATATTGTGTTAATATTTATATTAAACTTCAACCGTGCTCCTAAATTTTTGACTATGCCCCTAAATGTTTGTAATTAGGAGCACAAGTGCTCCTAAACAAATTGTTACCGAAGAGCCCTGTCTCTATATAACTTTGTATACATACATGTCTGCATCTTCATCTCTTCTGTTTGTCTCAGCAGAGAAAGCAGTTCCCAGGTTCAGATCATCCTCTGTACTGGAAAGAAGAAAAATAAATGTTAAAAATGCAGCCTTGGTTACAAATACACTCACACACCCCACTGTGATAAAACCTGCCCAACACTGGCCTTCACATTTAGTCACTGGGACACTTACTTATCTGCAGCTCTGTCCTTCACTTTCTTCATGTCCACAATACCACCTGTCTTGAGCTTAAATGGATCATCCTGAAACGTAGGAAGAAAAAAAATCCTCAGACAGAACTCTGTCGCATCACTCAGTACGTTTACATGGACAACAAGAATCCGATATTAATCCGATTAAGACAATACTCTGATTAAGAAACTACCACGTTGTTATAGGCAACGATTTCCAATGACCTTAATCCGATTAAAGTCATATAGACAAATAATTAACTGCACTTGAAGCTTTCATAAAAATTTTTAATGAAACACCCAAAACTGTAAATGGTACCATAACGAAGATGAACTGTATGTCGATACGTGAAATTCTGGAGGGACTTCAGACGGTGTGGCGTGAGGACGTATCGACATGTGGCATTAATTGATATATGGTCAATAACATTTAAAATGGGAGCATGAAAGGAATATTCTAAAAGCAACCTTATTCTTAACTTATAAACCTTATTCGCATTATTGTCTTATTCAAAATAAGGTCAATAATTACATTACTCCTGTCCGTGTAAACATAGTCAGGGTCAACATATTAGTTATACACCTAACACTACACTTACATTTACTACAAACTGTGATGATATAGAACTAACATCACTCATGAGGTAAGCACATACCTCTATCTCTGCTTCCAATGGTAACTTCTCTCCCACAAGCAATGATGCTAAACTGGGGAGAAAAAGCAAAAAAAAATTTAAAATCTTAAAATGTTATGCTTGTATTACCGATACTATACAAGAAGGGACACAAATAACAGAGGGCAAACTGACTTCCATGTTCATTTAATCATATTTCTCCTATCGATGACTGTTACAACACAATCAAGAATTCTAATAATTTTGTCCAATTCAGCATTTCAGTTTATTGAGCTTGCTAACCACTAAGTCACTGTGCGCCCCAACATGCGACATGACAAAAGGTGTGTACTTTTCTGTCCACCATTTAGATTCCCTACACAAACACCTGTGCAAAGACCCATCGCGCGGATGCTCCAATTGACCACATGACCACCACAAAAGAAGTTAAGATTAGTCAAGGTTCTGAACGTTATTACGAACCAGTGCCTCGATGTTATCTGAAGAAAGGCGGAAGGCTGCTGTTAATCGTATGATATTGCAACCCAGGAGAAAGTCAGTTCTTTCTCAATATTTGGTTTTTACCCTGACAGCAAAATGTTAAATACGAATTTACATGGTGAATTCTGAACTACTGATTCTACTACTGACTTAGAGCACCTCACCCAGATTAAGGTTCATTATGGTAAAATGAAACATTATGCACTGTTTAACTCATTCATCCTCACAGCTCCATTGATATGTGGACTAATCCAACATTTAATCTGAAAATTTTAATCTGATTACGGCATGTAAAAAGTAATCAGATTACTAATTACTTTACTTTCAAAACCTATCAAACCTACAAAAATACACTACAAAGTGAAACTCAGTTTTATCAGTAATTTTAGAGCATATTAATGTGTCACATGATCAGAAAAAGTCAGATTTATCATAAAACTAGTCTTGGGTGCTGTCACTGTTTGTAGAACTACCAGACAGACAAAATCTAAAAGTTTTATAACAAGGCTTGTTTGGTGTCAATAGCCAAGGGGAGGCACAGCTAAGCGATCACTGTATGGGTTTAGCTGCTACAGTGCCATGCAAAGTACATTATCTTTCCTTCTGCTCTGCTCATATCATGTTCATGTAAACTGGAACTCATATTTACACACCTTGTTTTCCTGCTCAGAGTCAGAGGATGTTACTGTTTCAGTTTCAACTCATTTAATGGTTGAATTTTTTTTTAAATAAATTGGCGTATATCCATTAGCTCACACTGACTGTGAGCTTTCATTTGGCAGAATTGAGACTGTCAGACAAAAATACACAATTGTTTCCACGTATTTTCCCGTAAACCCGGTCTGATTGGTCTCGCCTCCGCTCACTGAAGATACAAAATTACAGTCGGTCTTCTTTTAAAGACGTTCAGAGATGGAGTGACAAACTGCTCCACGTCGAGAATTATTCAGGGCTAAACTTTATAATTCGGAACAAAATTAGATTTCTTTTTAAAATGTATTTTTCTTTAATATTGTTTTCTGAACAATAACTTTGTAATGCAAGCAACGTAATTTTAATCAGTAACTGTAATCAAATTACATAAATTGAAAATGCAATGCGTTACATTACTGCATTATCAGAAAAAGTAATTAGAATACAGTAACGTGTTACACCCAACTCTGAATGGCAGTGGTACCTCAACGGTTAAGGATCTGATCAGTGATCGGTGATCAGGAGGTCGGGGTTCGAGCACCAGCACTGCCAAGCTACCACCGTTGCACCCTTGAGAAATCCCCATAATCCTATCTGCTAACGCAGTGGTTCAGAACCCAGGCGGAAGGGAGAGGCAAATTGTTTACCAAAAAAAATAAAATTAAAATAAATAAATAAATAAAAATACAGGCTGGGCATTATTTGGGTTCTCGTGTAATTTATTGCTTCTCAAATAGAATGTGCAAAAATGTGTTCCCTCTCCCTCTGTATTTTCTTTTTGCTGGGGAGAGGCGAAGTTTAGCTGCACTAACACCAAGCCCACTCACACTAAAAAGAAATGCATATGATGCCACTTTCAAGTTAAAGGCGATCGATCTGGCTGTCGAAGAAGGAAATAGAGCTTCTGCATGTAAGCTTGGCATCAATGAATCGATGGTGATACGGTGGAGACGGCAACGTGAAGAACTGACTCAATGCAAAAAGATGACAGAAGCTTTCAGAGGTGGAGTGTGACAAAGTACCAGTAATTCTGAGGCTGTTCAATTCCGACACTGAAGAAGACGACTTCAGTGGTTTTAGTGCGCAGGAGGAAGATGAAGATAGCGATCAATCACGTTTCCTGGTCGGCAACTGTATTTTTTATTTTTTTTAACCAGCTGTGTTACAGGCACTGTTCGGAAAAAAGCATTTACGGTATGTATTTAATCAAAAGTTAAAAAAATCTTTGTGTCAATATCTCATGTTACAATGTGGACACCTGCGGCTTATAGACAGGTGCGGTCTACATATGTACAATTTTTTTTTGCTTTTTAAAATTAGTGGGTGCAGTTTATATTCAGGTGCGCTCAATAGTCCGAAAATTACGGTAACGACTTTTCAGACCCCTTTAGTGACACTTTTTTGCTAAAAAAAAAAGTGTCTAATGACAAATCTAGTGACTTTTTGGACAAATCTTAGCGACTTTCCAAATATCCCCAGTTCTGTCCTGCAAGTGCGAGGTCTTGCTCTCCCGCTGCACTCGCACCTCTCTCTCTCTGCTCTGTTCAGTGAGTGGCTGAGAGACGGAGATTTAACTACGTAATGGATAACGAGACGCACCCTTCGTCCCAATTTACACCATTCTTCTGTGAATGTTTTTAGAACGCAAGATGAATTGAATGCAACGTTTTACATGTAAAATAGTACACGTTATTACAGTCGAGTTCTCTTGTTCAAAGTAGTTAAAGTGCTCAGAATCATCTTTGATCATTCATGTTCAATACCTGTCCGTTATATAGTTTTATAAAAGTCATAAAAGCTATAAAATATACAATAGTTAATAATTATACCTGGTCTCCTCCAATATGGGGCGGCGTGCCACATGAGATGTGGACACGGCCAGATATGAAAAGTTATATATGAACGTATTATAACGCACGCATTAACATAAAGCTGTGATTTGCCTTGCAGCCGGAACTACTGTAATATAAAACTAATCAACACCTTCAGAATACAGAATTCGGCCGCTCAGTGAGAGAAACCAACAAACAGCATGTGATAGGATAACTAACCGCTGTTCTAACTCTTACCTCACACCTTTCTGTCTCCTCCGTAAACTCTGCAGCTCCTTCGCTTCATCAAGTTTAGTCCTGTGGACAAAGTTATTGAAAACTCTACATTAGTTAAAACAGCACATTGTCTTCATATTGGGCCAGTATCAGAATAAGAGTGAAAAGTTTATAAGTAGCCTATAAACAAACAAACAGCTAAACAGGACGACAGTTAGCTTGCTAACGTTACAAGATCGATTAGCGATTAGCAATTAGCTAATATGCGGCGGCCGGATTATTAACCTGACTTCAGCAGTCACTTCGTCAGATTCCTCTTCATCGAACCTTCTCCTGAAATGTCTACCCGCTGGCATGATCTGATATTTCACTGTAGATTGTTATGAAAGGTAAATATCTTCTGTTCCTGACCGGAAACGTTTTCGGAGAAAACGATGTTCACTTCTTCTCCTAACTGACGAGGGAGACATCCGACGTTGTGATTGATTACCGCCACCTGCTGGACTTGAGGTGTACTTTTTGTTCGTTTAAACCAGGATTCTTTAAAAAAACAAAAAACAAGACAAAACAAAACAACAACAACAAAAAAAAAACTGTAATATAATACACATTCTACGATTTTTTTATCCATCTATTCAAATATCAGGGTCATTATTCAAATGTGTGCAAAAATATGTCTATTTATTTGAGCCACAGAGCTTTTGTTTCTGAACTTTCCATCAACAGATTACCAACAAACATTACATTTAAGTTGACATTTTTAGGCCAACTTGCGTTTGAGTTATTGATGTTTGGATGAATCACTTGCAATTCAAGTGACCAGTCAAACAAGCTTAAACTGTAAGAATATGAATATATATATATATATATATATATATATATATATATATATATATATATATATATATATATATATATAATATCTCATAAAAGTGAGTACACCCCGCACATTATTGTAAATATTTGATTATATATTTTCATGTGACAACACTGAAGAAATGACACTTTGCTACAATGTAAAGTAGTGAGTGTACAGCTTGTGTAACAGTGTAAATGTGCTGTCCCCTCAAAATAACTCAACACATAGCCATTAATGTCTAAACCGCTGGCAACAAAAGTGAGTACACCCCTAAGTGAAAATGTCCAAATTTGGCCCAGTTAGCCATTTTCCCTCCCCGGTGTCATGTGACTTGTTAGTGTTACAAGGTCTCAGGTGTGAATGGGGAGCAGGTGTGTTAAATTTGGTGTCATCGCGCTCACACTCCCTCATACTGGTCACTGGAAGTTCAACATGGCACCTCATTGCAAAGAACTCTCTGAGGATCTGAAAAAAGAGAATTGTTGCTCTACATAAAGATGGCCTAGGCTATAAGAAGATTGCCAAGACCCTGACACTGAGCTGCAGCACGGTGGCCAAGACCATACAGCGGTTTAACAGGACAGGTTCCACTCAGAACAGGCCTCGCCATGATCGACCAAAGAAGTTGAGTGCACATGCTCAGCGTCATATCCAGAGGTTGTGTTTGGGAAATAGACGTACGAGTGCTGCCAGCATTGCTGCAGAGGTTGAAGGGGTGGGGGGTCAGCCTGTCAGTGCTCAGACCATACGCCGCACACTGCATCAAATTGGTCTGCATGACTGTCATCCCAGAAGGAAGCCTCTTCTAAAGATGATGCACAAGAAAGCTCGTAAACAGTTTGATGAAGACAAGCAGACTAAGGACATGGATTACTGGAACCATGTCCTGTGGTCTGATGAGACCAAGATAAACATATTTGGTCCAGATGGTGTCAAGCGTGTGTGGCGGCAACCAGGTGAGGAGTACAAAGACAAGTGTGTCTTGCCTACAGTCAAGCATGGTGGTGGGAGTGTCATGGTCTGGGGCTGCATGAGTGCTGCCGGCACTGGGGAGCTACAGTTCATCGAGGGAACCATGAATGCCAACATGTACTGTGACATACTGAAGCAGAGCATGATCCCCTCCCTTCGGAGACTGGACTGCAGGGCAGTATTCCAGCATGATAACTACCACTGCCTTGCTAAAGAATCTGAGGGTGAAGGTGATGGACTGGCCAACAGTCAAACATCACAGGATCTATGTCCTATTCACCAACCCCATGCTCGTTAAAATGTAAATACTGCTGTGCTAGCCTACTTTGATTCATCCTGTGGTAGAATTTTTAGACTGGACTCATTTCTCCCTTAGCATACCTTTCAGGTTTTTTATTTTCTACACTGACTCTTCTGCCTGTCGTCTATTACACCTCCCTGGATTATGCTTCCCAATCATTTTAAAAGTCTAATTTAATCCACAGGGGGCATGGTGGCTAATGGTTAGCATGTTCATTACACACCTCTTTGTCTGGGGGTTTGAGTCCCATCTCCACCCTGTGTGTGAGGAGTTTGCATGCTCCCTCTGTGCTTCAGGGGTTTCTCCTGGGTATTCCAGTTTCCTCTCCCAGTCCAATGACATGCACTGTAGGCTGATTGTGATTGGTGTGTGCGATTATGCCCTGCGATGGGTTGGTGTCCTATCCAGGGTGTCCCCCACCTTGTACCCCAAGTTCCCTGGGATAGGCTCAGGTTCCACTGTGACCCTGTGTAGGATAAGTAGTACAGAAAATGGATGGATGAATGGATGGATTTAATTCACAATATAGTGAACGTCTTCATTTCTTTGAAATGCCCCAACCCTTCTTCTAAATGTTGAAAAGTTGTCTTCCATTTCTCTCATTTTCACAACTCCGCTCCAATTTCCTAATAATTATATTCCATAAGACATTTTAAATTTCTGCTTTACTTATTGGTGTTTCATCACAGCTCTATCATGGATGACCACTCATTTAGCTGCATGGTCAGCACTCTCCTTGCCCTCTTATTCCCTGATGTACTGGAACTCACATAAACCTGCGTTCCTGATTTCTGGAATTGTGTGTATCAGTGTAAAACCATGTTTAGGATATTCTGTATGATGTTTTTTTTTTATCTGCCAAGCCTTAGTTGGACTTTTAGAATATTTCCCTGGTTTTGTCTATATGATGGTGTCCATGCTCTGAAACTATAATGTCACAGTCGAAAGCTATGTTTTAACAAACAACCACACTAACCCTGGTTTCACTACCATAATAAAGCCATGCTTAGTTTCCCTAAGGGTTTTCTTTGTTATACATTGTCATACATTCCATAAGAAGTCGAATCTTTCTATGGTTCAAGAAGTTTCCACATTTTATTACCTTTCTGTTATTTTACCCACAAGTGTTGCTTGTCCAGCATGTTTAACTCCTATCTGATGTAACACTTGGATATGATTGTTTTGGTTTTGGTGAACATACACAGTGTACATTTCTGAAATCATTGTGTAATGTTATATCAGTAAGATTTTCATTTCAGGAAGGTCATTTCCCATAATCGATATGTCATCATTATTATTAATACTGTACTGTCATTAACACTCCAACAACAGAGCAGCAGACACTTTTATTATTTATTTATTTATTTATTTA